GTTTGGAACTTGAGGCTAGGGGATTCTGTTCAGTCTGGTGCCAGCCACAGCCTTTGGATGGGCAGAGCAATGATCGGGTGAGGGTGTAAAAGAAAAGTACCGAGGAAAGAGAAGAGGAAAACCAGCTTTAACAACAGTCTAGGCTGGGTGCGGTGGCTCACACCTGTAATTCCAGCACTTTGGGAGGCCGAGGTGGGTGGATCACCTGAATTCAGGAGTTTGAGACCAGCCTGGTCAACAGATGGTGAAATCCTGTCTCTACTAAAAATACAAAAATTAGCCGTGCGTGGTGATGGATGCCTGTAATCCCAGCTACTTGAAAGGCTGAGGCAGGAGAATCACCTCAGGCGAAGCAGGAGGCAGAGGTTGCAGTGAGCTGAGATAACATCACTGCACTCCAGCCTGGGCTACAGAGTGAGACTCCGTCTCTTAAAAAAAATAAATACAATCTGTACTGTGGAGGCCTTGGGTGGGTGTCCCGAGCTCTAAGCATGGACTGTTCCCTCTGTTGGGAGCTTCCTCCCTTCATCCCTCCTGGTTGACTCAACTCGGCATAAAGGTCATTTCTTCTAAGAGCCTGTCCCTGACTCTCCAATCCAGGATATGTTTATTGTCTGAGAGCGCGCCCAACTCCTGCCACCACTTGTCATTTCCATTCACAACATTTGTTTCATTGTTTTTTTTTTTTTTTCAGATTCGGTCTCGCTCTGTGCAGGTCCTGCCACCACTTGTCATTTCCATTCACAACATTTGTTTCATTGTTTTTTTTTTTTCAGATTCGGGGTCTCGCTCTGTTGCCCAGGCTGGAGTGCAGTGGTGCAATCACAGCTCGTTGCCACCTCGACCTCCTGGGCTTAAGCGATCCTCCCCACTCAGCCTCCCAAATAGCTGGGACCACAGACATGCACTGCCATGCCAGGCTAAGTTTTAAGTGTTTTTTCTTTTCTGAGTTGGAATCTTGCTCTGTCACCCAGCTTGGAGAGCAGTGGTGCGATGTCGGCTCACTGCAACCTCTATCTCCTGTGTTCCAGCAATTCTCCTGCCTCACCCTCCTGAGTCACCACCATGCCCAGCACTGCAGAGGTTCTGTGAGTGCTGACCTAGACCCTCTCGATAGTTTCTTAAGAATTCAGAACCGGGGCCAGGCACAGTGGCTCATGCCTGTAATCCCAGCACTTTGGGAGGCCAAGGCAGGTGGATCACTTGTTGAGGTCAAAAGTTCAAGACTAGCCTGACCAACATGGTGAAACCTTATCTCTAATAAAAATGGAAATTTAGGGCCGGGCATGGTGGCTCACGCCTGTAATCCAAGCACTTTTAGGAGGGCGAGGTGGGCAGATCATTTGGTCAGGATATTGAGACCATCCTGGGTAACACAGTGAAACTCCATCTCTATTAAAAATACAAAAAATTAGCCTGGCGTGGTGGCGGGTGCCTGTAGTCCCAGCTGCTCAGGAGGCTGAGGCAGGAGAATGGTGTGAACCCGGGACACGGAGCTTGCAGTGAGCCAAGATCACACTACTGCACTCCAGCCTGGGCAACAGAGCGAGACTCTGTCTCAAAAAAAAAAAAAAAATTAGGTGGATGTGGTGATGGGCACCTGTAATCCAAGCTACTTGGGAGGCTGATGCAGGCGAACTGCTTGAACCTGGGAAGGGGAGGTAGCAGTGAGTCAAGATTGTGCCACTGCAGTCCAGCCTGGGCGACAAGAGTGAAACTCTGTCTCAAAGAAAAAAGAATTCAGAGCTAGTTACCTTTTCAAAGAGGATGAGCAAGGGTGCATATCCACGAGCCACTTCCCCCTACTTGACAAGTTTGCAGAAGTGGCATTCTGTAAGCACAAGAAATTAAAGGGTGCAAACAGAACAGCGCAGTCCACCGTGGGTGGCTGTTCTCTGTGTGTCAGCGGGAGTCCCAGGAGCTGTGACAAACGAGTGTGAGCTGGCTGGGGAGCCACTAGCTCAACACAGTGTTGCCACAATGCTTTAATATGTTTAAAAAAAAAAAAAATGGGCCAGGCAAGGGGCTGGGAGCGGTGGCTCACGCCTGTAAGCTCAGCACTTTGGGAGGCTGAGGCAAGCAGATCACCTGAGGTCAGGAATTCAGGAACAGACTGGCCAACATGGTGAAACCCCATCTCTACTAAAAATACAAAAATTAGTTGCGCATGGTGGTGGGAGTTTGTAATCCCAGCTACTCTGGAGGCTGAGGCAAGAGAATTGCTTAAACTCAGGAGGTGGAGGTTGCAGTGAACCAAGATTGCGCCATTGCACTCCAGCCTAGGCGACAAGAGCAAAACTCTGTCTCTAAAAGAAAGAGATAAAAAGAAATGGGCCAGGTGGACTGGGCGCAGTGGCTCACACCTGTAATCTCAACACTTTGGGAGGCTGACGTGGGCCGATCACAAGGTCGGAAGTTTGAGACCAGCCTGGCCAACATGGTGAAACCCCATCTCTACTAAAAATACAAAAATTGGCTGGGTTTGGTGGCAGATGCCTGTAATCCCAGCTACTTTGGAGGCTGAGGCAGAATTGCTTGAACCCAGGAGGCAGAGGTTGCAATGAGCTGAAATTGTGCCACTGCACTTCAGCCTGAGTGACAGAGCGAGACTCTATAAAAATAAAATAAAATAAAATGAAGAAGAAGGAGGAGGAAAAAGAAAAAAAGAAGAAACAGCCAGTTGTGGTGGCTCACACCTGTAATCCCAGCAATTTGGGAGGCAGAGGAGGAGGAGCAGGAGGAGCAGGGGGAGGAGGAGGAGGAGAGGAAGAAGGAGGGGAAGAAGAAGGGGAAGGAGGAGGAGGAAGAGGGTGAGGAGGAGGGTAAGGAGGAGGGGGAGGAAAAAGAAATGGAGGAGGAGGAGAAAGAAACAGCAGGCTGGGGGCAGTGGCTCATGCCTGTGAGGAGGCGGAGGAGGAAAAAAGAAACGGAGGAGGAGGAGAAAGAAACAACCCAGGAGGCAGAGGTTGTACTGAGCTGAGATCATGCCACTGCACTCCAGCCTGGGAGACAGAGCGAAACTGTGTCTCAAAAAAAAAAAAAAAAAAAATAATAATAATAATAATAATAATAACAGCCAGGGTGCCACAGTGGCTCACGCCTGTAATCCCAGCAATTTGGGAGGCTGAGGCGGGAACATTGCTCGAAACCCAGGAGTCTGAGACCAGTCTGGGCAACATAGTGAGACCCTGTTTCTACAAAAAAATTAAAAATTAGCAGGAATGGTGGCACAAGCCCACCTACAAGCCCAGCTACTCAGAAGGCTGAGGCAAGAGGATGACTTGAGCCCAGGAGGTCGAGGCTGCAGTAAGCTGTGGTTGAACCACTGCACTCACGCCTGGGCAGTGGAGTAAGACTTTGTCTGAAAAATATAATAACAAAGTTTGAAATACAGTAAGAATTACTGAAATGTGACACAAAGACACCAAGTGAGCATGTGCTGTTGGAAAAAATGGTGCCAATCCACTAGGTCAACACAGGGTTACCACAATCCTGTAATATATTGAAAAAAATGGGCCAGGCAAGGGGCCAGGTGGGGTGGCTTACGCCTGTAATCTCAGCACTTTGGGTGGCCGAGGCAGGTGTATCACCTGAGGTCAGGAGTTCAAGACCAGCCTGGCCAACATGGTGAAACCCTGTCTCTATAAAAGATACAAAAATCAGTTGGGTGTGGTGGCACGTGCCTGTAATTCCAGCTACTTGGGAGGCTGAGGCAGGAGAATCGGCTTGATCCCGGGAGGCGGACGTTGCAGTGAGCCGAGATCACGCCACCGCACTCCAGCCTGGGTGGCAGAGTGAGACTCAGTCTCAAAAAAAGAACAAAATGTGGATGATATATACCATCTCTCTGCCCTCGGCTCCTGGGAGTAAGGGGTCACCCAGTGACCTCCTAGAAGGCCAGGGACAATGGGGGGTGTCAGGGTGCTCTTCAGAGCCAAGGGAGCAGTAGGAATTGGGATCTTAGTCTACCTCCAAGCTGTGAGGGAGAGAGTTGCAGGGCACTTAGGCTTGGTGGAGACCGTCAGTGCCTCTTTGCCTGCCCCTGCAGCAGAAGTTCAGGACACCAGAGCCAAGACCAGAGGCCCTGGTGGAACAGCGGTGAAGAGCATGGGTTCTGACTTCAGACTGCTGGGCTGCAGCCCTGGCTCTCCCACCCCAGGTAAGGGAAGGCTGCATGCCTCCCTGTGCCTCAGTTTCCCCTTCTGCATAGTGGAGTTGTATTGATGCCTACTCCAGAGGGTTGTGTCATCAATTAGGATGGCACCTGGCACCTTGGTCAGTGGCAGGAAAAGTTCCAGAAGCTCGGCTCTGGTCCTAGGGGTGCCTGAGGCCCTGCCACCATCTCCTTGGGGTGATGCCATGTGGTGGGAAAGACCCCAACTTCAAGCCCAGACTCAGTCACTCATGCCTGTAATACCAACACTTGCAGAGGCCGGGGTGGGAGGATCACCTGAGGTCAGGAATTCAAGACCAGCCTGGCCCACATGGTGAAACCCTGTCTACCAATGATCCAAAAATTACCCAGGTGTGGTGGTGCATGTGTGTAATCCCAGCTGCTCCGGAGGCTGAGGCAGAAGAATCTCTTGAACCCAGGAGGCGGAGGTTGCAGAGAGCCGAGGTCACGCCACTGCACTCCAGCCTGGCTCTGTCTTGGTGTTCAGCCACGTTCCCATGCTCACTCCCAGGGTGACTCTGGGAAGGTCTGAGCCTCCTTGTCTTCCCAGTTAGAATGATCCGATGCCCCTGCTGCCATCAGACGTGGTAAGTTTCCCGAGGACTCTGCAAGAGGTACTGTTCTGGAGGGTGGAGGCGAGACTAATTGTTCCTGCTCTCCTGGCCAGAGTGGGCACAGTGGATCCTGTCATGGAGAAGTTCCACGCATCCATCACCTATGACCGGCACCTGTGGGAGGTGGATGTTCAAGGCAGCAGAGGCTACAGCAGGGGCCTGGAGAAGGCAGGGCTCCTCACCAAGGCCGAGATGGACCAGATACTCCATGGCCTAGACAAGGTACTTGCCATGGCCCATGCCCCACCGGAGTCCCCCTCCCTGTGGCCCCAGGCTCCCACCAAATCCCTGAGCAATTAGCACAGTGTTGCCTGTCTGTGGTTTCACATTGAACTAATCATATACTCAAGTGCTGTTTAACTGTGTGCCTTGATGGCCGCCTCGCTCCTTTAATGACGCTGTGGCCCACATGGCTCATGAGTAAAGGTGTGCTGGGCCCGAGATGCCCCCTCCCAAGGTGCGCTTCCAGGACTCAGCTCCTGGACAGGGACAGTCAGTCATCAGGGATAGGGTGGGACCGGGGCAGGGGCTCTCGGCCGCTGATGCCTGCTCACCTGACCCCTGGCATTGCTGCTACCTGCTCTAGGTGGCTGAGGAGTGGGCCCAGGGCACCTTCAAACTCAACCCCAATGATGAGGATATCTACACAGCCAATGAGCGCCACCTGAAGATACAACCCCTACAGCCCCACTGCTTTCCTGGCCTCCCCTCTCCACCTTGCCTGGGGCCACTTTGAGCATTAGCACCGTCATTCTGTGATCATTGGTGAAACCTCAGGGAAGCCACACACGGGAGGGAGCCGGAATGACCAGGTGTCTCTAGCCCCTCCACCCCTCTTCAGGCCTAGGTCCTCCTGCACCTGCCCCCAAATAAAATGGGTGTGAGAGGAGGCTGCTGCGTGTTTCCTGTCCTAGCCTGGCTCCCTCATTGCTGGGCTTTTTGGGGCTGGCCTGTGGGGATGGTCAGGGACTGGAGAGGCAGAGCAGGGTCACCTGTAATCCCAGCACTTTGGAAGGACAAGGTATGAGGATGCTTGAGGCCAGGAGTTCGAGACAAGCCTGGTCAACAGGAGACCCGGTCTCCACCCAATAATAAATAACTAGCACAGCGTGGTGGCCCATGCACATCATCTCAGCTGCTTGTAAGGCTGAGGTGAGAGGATCACTTTCGCCTAGGAATGGAGGCTGCAGTGAGCTATGATCACACCACTGTATTCCAGCCTGGACAACAGACTGAGACCCTGTCTCTAAGAAACTAAAAAAATTTAAAAAACTGGAATCAGAGAAAACTGGGCAAGGGCAGTGAGAGTCATAGATGGGAAGGGAAGAGGGGCCTCCCATCACAGCCTCTGCCCTGTCCAGACCCCATCCCCTTCAAACAGGGTATCATAGTGACCTCCTAGGCCAGGAGCGGTGGCTCACGCCTGTAATCTAGCACTTTGGGAGGCCTGGACAGCATAGTAAGACCCCAGCTACTACATTAAAAAACAACAACAACAACAACAACAACAAAACTAGTTAAGCTGGGCAGATGGCTCACACCTGTAATCCCAGCACTTTGGGAGGCTGAGGTGGGTGGATGACCTGAGGCCAGGAGTTTTGAGACCAGCCTGGTGAAACCCCATCTCAAACTCTTTCCCCCAACTCCAAAAAAAAAAAAAAAAAAAAAAGCAGTGTGTGGTGGCACACACCTGTAATCCCAGCTACTTGGGAGGCTGAAGCAGGAGAATCATTTGAACCCAGGAGGCAGAGGTTACAGTGAGCCAAAATTGCCCCACTGCACTCCAGCCTGGGCGACAGAGGGAGACTCCCTCTCAAAACAAAACAAAACAAAAAAAACACACACAAAAAAAACAAACAAATTAGCCGGGCACAGTGGCAGGTGCCTGTAATCCCAGCAACTTGGGAGGCTGAGGCAGGAGAATCGCTTGAACTCGGTGGTCGGAGGTTGCAGTGAGCCGAGATGGAGTCACTGCACTCCAGCAATCCTGAGGAGACTTAAGAACTAAACATAGTATGGTCTCCTGGATGAGATCCTGGGACAGGAAAAGGACATTAGGGGAAATAGTAAAGAAATCTGAATCAAGTTGAACCTTAGTTAATAACAGTGTATCAGTATTGGTTTATTGGGGCTGGGCATGGTGGCTGACATCCTAGCACTTTGGGAGGCTAAGGTGGGGAGATCCTGAGGTCAGGAGTTCAAGACTAGCCTGGGCAACGTAGCGAGACCACATCTTTCTAAATT